GCCCAAAAAAGTATATTCAACACTTTTCAGAGTTGTTTCACTAAAATGTGCTGAATACATTCATCAAACTTTAATCCAGACACAACAATATTAAGGAATTCCTTACATATGGGAATTCACACACGTGATGTTTGTTCTTTGTTCACACCACGTCAATATTTATTTAGTGAATCAAGAAATACGAGATGATAGATTTGAAGTAAGAAATGTTAAGTTTTAGAGGGACCTAAGAAGCATTTAAAAAACGTATAAAGACTGACGTTTATTTTACACTAATTCAAAACTTAGTTTAACGTCTAAAGACACAGGTTTGAAGACTTAAAAGTTCCATCTTTTACTATCTTTCAAGAATGCGTAAACAATTCAATCTAATCCCTTCCTTAAGACTTTTATATCATACTTCAAAATTAAGGTGCAGAGACATCTCTAGGGAATTCCCGACAATATTATAAAATTATACAGAACGCTCATGTTACTAAATACTACGCTATAAATTATCATGTCTCACAGAATAATATTCATCAAATTGATCGTGACTGTATAAAAGACTTGTTGTAATGTTGTGACTGACTCAATCGGTGAAGCTAGTTAACTCGGCATTGTTGTCTAATCAAGAAAAAGTTTAAAAGTTTGTAACAAAAATCTGTTTAGTATTTATAAAGTAATTCAATACAGTTCAGTGCAAGGTGCTTACAGATTTCTTGTGACAAAAGTAATCAAACATTCTTAAAATCGGTTTCACATAAGCACTAGACATGGCATCGAATATGGATTTTCATGAAAATGACATCGTGATATCGGGTATATCCGGCCGATTTCCAAACTCTAATAATGTCCGTGAATTTTCACACAATCTTTACAGCAAAATTGATATGGTTGATGATGACGAGAGTCGATGGAAGCATGTTGTACCTAATATTCCTAAAAGATTCGGAAAAATTCGTAATTTAGAAAAGTTTGATGCTTCCTTTTTCGCCACACTCAATAAGCATGCAAAGTTCACAGATCCTCAAATGAGAATGTTGCTTGAGCATTCTTATGAAGTAAGTCTTGCATAATAATCAATAATAATCGATGAAAAATGAAATCAGTCGGTAAACTCGTAGAGAAACGAGTGCAAAACTTAACAGCAGCAAAAAATAAATAATCATTAAAGTTGCTGACAATACTAGCGACTGATTTGTTCGAAAATTAAATATTACCATTCGCTGGCAATGTCAGTGCCTCTTTTGTGATATTTTCAGTGATAAAGTGTAAATCAGTAACTGAGAATGTTCACCTGTATTAATTTACATTATGTAAACATGATCATTGACATTAAATGCAAAGCACTAAATAAGAAAAAATATTTTTCAGGCCATTCTGGATGCTGGAGTATCACCGCAGTCACTAATTGGCACTCGAACGGGTGTTTTCATTGCTTCTGGTGGTTCAGAAGCAAAAGATGTTTTTGTACATCGTGTGCCTGCTAAAGATGGATATTTGATATTGGGGTAGGTTATTACTGCATAAAATACTTTGTGTAGTGTTTTCTTTTCATTCTTGAAGCACCATTGTGGCTAATAAAGGATAATTTAAACGCCTCAATGTTAATTTGTCTCTAAAGAATTTCTTGTTTTGAACAGAAATGCAAACTTTTACCTCTCCAACCGAATATCTTATGCTCTCGGATTATGTGGACCGTCTTTTACTGTTGATGCTGCATGTTCAAGTTCTGCTTATGCTCTAGACTGTGCTTTTCATTATATGGAGACAGGTAAAGTCATCAAAATTATCATGACAATAAAAATTTTAAAATTATTCACGTCAATCAAGATCTTTGCGATGCAGCACTTGTCGGTGGTTCTCAACTCATCTTAACAAATGGATTAAGTGAATACACAAAGTAAGTATTAAATGCTAATTATCACTAAGCATAAAATAAATAAAATTTATAAACAGACTCGGAGTGCTGTCTGCAGATGGTATTTCTCGACCATTTGATGAGAATGCTTCTGGTTTTGTTCGTGCTGAAACAGTTTGTGTTATTTTCTTGCAAAAATACAAAGATTCCAAACGAGTTTATGCAAATGTTGTGTACAGCAGCTCCAATAATGATGGTTTTAAAGAAGAAGGAATTTCATTTCCATCAAGAGAATTGCAGCAGAGACTTATGGAAGAATTTTATAAGAAAGTGCCTGTTGAACCAATGAAAATAAATTTTGTGGAAGCTCACTCGACAGGAACTAAGCTTGGCGATCCAGAAGAAGTTGCATCAATTGATGAAGTTTTCTCAAAAAATAAAATTCGTCCTAAGCAGCTGATTATTGGAAGTGTAAAGTCGAATATGGGTCATTCAGAAGCAGCATCTGGTATGTCCTCGATAGCAAAGGTTCTCGTCGCTTTTGAGAATCAGAAATTTCCACCAAACATCAATTTAACTAGCCCACGTGCTGATATTGAAGCATTTGCAGAACGCAGAATCAAAATTGCCACTGAAATTGAGCCACTTGCAAGCGAATATATTGCTATGAATTCTTTTGGCCTGGGTGGTGCCAATGCTCATGCATTACTTCGTGGAAATACAAAAGTGAAAATAAATTTTGGAATTCCTGATGATAATCTCGGTCGAATACTTTTTTGGTCAGGTAGAACGGAAGCTGCAGTAAATGCAATATATAATGACATAACAAACCGTCCACTTGATGCTGAGCATATTAGGGTTTCTGAAAAACGGCATTTTCGAAAACGGCCGTTTTCCGTTTTTTATTTTCAATAACGGCCGTTAACGGACCGTTTTTAAGTTTTTTAAATAACCAAATATAAATGACATATCCTCAAAAGATAAAGAATTGCTGTGCTATATGGGCAATTCCACATTTTTAAGAGCGTTGGTATATTACACAATGTTGAATTATGAATATGAAAGCAGAAATTTACCACTTTAAAGACGTCTAGACAACTATTAATGTTGTCTTTATTGTCAACCGTTCTTTCTATCCTCTTCTTCATACTTAAATTGACTTGAAAGACACTCAATAGACAGAAAAATGAATAATTTTAATGCAATTAATGTAATATACCAACGCTTAAGCCAAATCCGTGAGGAAATAATTTTTAAAAAACCAATTTTTACTTTAATTAACAATAATTTCTTTGATTAGAACCTTGTTTTTAAAAGTTTAATAGTCAATGAAGATCTTTTTTTAAAAAGTGTAAGCTCAATTAAAGTTTATTTTTGAAGCAATCAAATTTTTAAAGAACATGGATCAAAAATTTATTTTTTTCGAAATTCAACTCATCCGTGGAATTGCCCATATAGATAATATGTAGATTTCTATTTATATTTATTATAAAATCAAAAGATAGTGATGCATCAGCCAGCCTTGAACGAATCTTTGTGCAAAAATTTTTGCAGATTGAAAATATTCTGCTCTACATCTGTAGATGTCGGCTTAATACACAACAAAGCATCATAAAGTTTTTGAAGATTTTCCGATCGATTTCCTGTATTTTTCATAAAAATTGATAAAAATCAAATATGAAAAACCCGTTTTTCAAAAATTTTTTTAAAAATTACATTGTATGAACTATGAGAAAACGGAATGAAAAACGGTCGTTTTCCGTTTTCAATTTTTGTACCGTTAACGGCCGTTTTCCGTTTTTCGTTAACGGCTTCAGAAACCCTAGAGCATATAGCACTTCTACAAAATTCACAAACAAAAACAACAGGTTCAAACACTTATCGCGGTTACGGGATGTTCATTAATGATGCAACAGAGAATAAAGCAGTATGTATAAAGCATAGCATTCAATACTTCAATGGAACATACCGTCCAATTGTGTTTGTTTATAGCGGTATTGGCAGTCAATGGGTTGAAATGGGAAGGGATTTAATGAAAATTTCTCTTTTTGCTGACTCTATTGAAAAAAGCCATAACATTTTAGTCAAAAAAGGGATTGACTTGAAGAAGATCATAACATCGGTAGATCAAACCACATTCGACAATGTTATGCATTCATATATTGGAATTGTGGCTATTGAAATTGCATTGACTGACATCCTCAAAGCACTTAATATTGTGCCAGATTTCATTATTGGACATTCACTTGGTGAGGTTTCCTGTGCATATGCTGACAATTGTTTCACATCTGAGGAAGCAATTTTGGCAGCACATGCAAGAGGCGAGGCAAGTTGTCAAACACAAAATGTTCATGGAGCTATGGCTGCTGTGGGATTGAATATTAAACAGCTTGAAGAAATTTTGCCCGAAGATATTGACATTGCATGTCATAATGGTGAAGATTCGACAACAATTAGTGGACCTACTAAAAGTATAAATACAGTTATTGAAAAGTTCAAGGATGAAAAAATTTTTGCTAAAGCTGTTGCATCATCCGGGATTGCTTTACATAGTCGATACATAAACGATATGGCAAAGAAGCTCAATGAAAAATTGAAGAACATTATCAAGGAACCAAAATGTAGATCTAACAAATGGATAAGCTCTACATATCCAGAAGATATGTGGAGTGAAAAAGAAACTTTCTATTCATCAGCTGAATATCACACTAAGAACCTCCTTAATCCCGTGTTGTTCTATGAAGCATGTAATAAGTTACCAAAAAATGCTTTAACTATAGAAATTGCTCCACATGGATTGCTCAAGGCGATTCTCAAAAGAAATTTGAGAAGTGGCATTCATGCAAGCTTGACTCAAAAAGAATGTGTGGATGGTGTTGAATTTTTCATGGAATCTCTTGGAAGGTAGCTTGAATTTAATGATCTTTTTTTATCTAGTTTATTTATTTTATTTTTGACATTTGATATAGTCTGTTCCAACACGGCATCGATATGGACATCTCGAAACTTTATTCACCTATCAACTTTCCAGTTTCTAGAGGTACTCCAATGATATCTCCTGTCATAAAATGGAATCATGATATCGACCATTTTGTTCCTTTATATGATACGTACAATACATTTGAAAGAACTAACATGTTCTTAAACATCAATGACAAAAATTTTGAATTTATGCAAGGAAATGTGGTCAATGGACAGTATCAATTTGCAGAGTCTAGCTTTCTTGTATTGGTATGGGAAACATACTCAAAAATGATAGATTGCTTCTTTGAAAAAAATAGAGTAGTTTTTGAGGATGTCCATTTTACAAGATCTTTTCCAATGTTAAAGAATACAGATTACTTGATTACGATATCAATACATCGTGGTACTGGCAGGTTTGAAGTCATATATGAGAATGAGGCAATTGTTTATGGATTCATCAACAATGTAAAATACATTGATATGTCGGACATCCATATACCAAATGATAAAAATGCAATAATTTTAACAACTGATGACTTCTATAAGGAAACGCGTGAGAAAGGATACTTCCAATTGGACAAGTTTCAAAGTGTAAAAGAAATTCGACATGATGGCTTGAAAGGAAAACTCAATTGGATATTCTTATGGCACACATTTATTGATGGAATGTTGCAAGTTTATTTTAAACAATCGAAAAAATTGACAAGAACAAAAAGCATCAGGAAGTTAGTCATCGACCCAGTTCTTCATCACAGCATGTTAGGATTTGTGTACTACGAGCTGACTAAAGCTGAATCGGATTCTGTTATTAAAAAAATCGCGGAATTAAATTTTGATGTTGTTGTATGTCCATATTTAAGGGTTGTCAAAGCAGGTGGTGTGGAAATTCACGATCCAGTCAGCATTGATGTTGCTAGAAGAAGACAAAAAGATCCAATCATTGAAGTTCATGATTTCGTACCTTATTTCTCAGACAGCAAATATTCCATTATTGATGCTGCAAAGATACTCACACAAATAGCAGTCGTAAACATGCTACAGCATAAAACATTATTTATAGAAGTTGATTCTATTGATGATAAACAACCACTCAGTGAATATTTTTCTGAAGCACTTCGTGGAAATCCTCATTGCTTATCTGATGTCACTTTACTTACTTCAAAGAAGGACATTCGCATAGAAAATGTAAGAAACAGTTCTGAAGAGTTTGCATCATTTAGTGGCATCAACATGATCCTAGCGAGAAATTGCATTGGAAATGATGAATTTTTCAAAACAGCCAAGTCAGTTCTCCTTGCTGATGGCTACATATTTTCAAGAGAGGATGAAATATTTACTGAAATTCAACATCAAGATGTTCTATTGGTTGCAAGAATTTTAACAGTTGGCAATGAACTTATCCACGTGCTCAAATTTAAAGATGATTCAAAAATTTTGAAGTTACGTCCGACATTAATGAATGGCTAGAACCACTACAGAATGCTCTCAAAAATGGAGGAGCAATAATCTATGCTTACAATGATGAACCGTCTGGTTTGTTGGGCTTTGTCAATTGTATAAGGCGTGAATATTCAGCGGATACTCTCAAGAGCTTCTTTATCATGGACAGAAAAAATGCACCGCCTGTATTTGACATTAATCATCCATTCTACAAATCTCAATTGGATCTAAATCATTCAATAAACATTTTTAAGGATGGCAAATGGGGCAGTTATCGACACATCGACATGCCAGTGTATAAAAATGTTCATCCACAAAGTCAGCACTGTCTTGCAAGTTGTCTCATTAAAGGCCTTACATCATCATTATCATGGATAAGTGGTCCACTTAATGTTACCAGTTCAGATTCGGATATAATAAATGTTCAATATGCAGCAATAAATGACAGAGATATTGAGTTTGTGACTGGAAATGATTCATGCAATTCTGATGAGCTGAGCGAGCATCAAAAACTATTGGGACTTGAATTCGCAGGTGTACGACGCAATAATGGTGAAAGAGTCATGGGTATCAGCCTTAAGTTTGGAGCAATAGCTACTCATGTTGAAGCTAGTAATTCAATATTTTGGAAAGTTCCAGAGTTGTGGACTCTAGAGGAAGCAGCTTCTGTTCCTCTCGCTTATTATATTGTATATTCTTCACTTTTTAATTCAGGAACTGTAAAGTCAGGAAAGACAATTTTGATTCATTCTGGAAGTGATGATTTAGGTCAAGCAGCAATAGAAGTTGCACTAGCTTATGGATTAGAAATATTTACAACAGTGAACTCTCAAAAGAATAAGAGATTCTTGATCAAAAAGTATCCAATGATAAGTATCAAGAATATTGGAATCACAAGAAACATCAAGTTTGAAAAAATGGTTTTCAAAAACACAAACGGCAAAGGAGTTGATTATGTCTTGAACACATTATCTGGTGACAAGCTTCATGCATCAATTCGCTGTGTAGCAAAAGATGGAGTATTTATAGATGTTGGAGATCATGATATGTCAGGACTTGACACGAGAGTTTTAAAAAAGAGAATTTTTATAAAAAGCATCGTTTTCGAGGAACTTGTTGAAGATACTGAACGAAATAAGGTATGAATTTAAAGACTGAAAACTTTTCAAGAGTTCTTACTAAAACGTTATATTATCTAGATTATACACAATCTAGTTGAGAAAGACCTAGCATCTGGCAGAATCAAACCACTTAGAGGAACAGTTTTTAAAGCAGATGAAATACAGGAAGCCTTCCGTTATGCAAGTATTGAACAGCGTATAGACAAAGTTCTCCTAAAAATTAGGCAAAATGAAAGTGATGAAAAGTCATTGCTCATGCCTGTTTTGCAAAAAGTTTATTTTGATTCCAACGAGTCTATTATTGTAACTGGAGGGTTAGGTGGATTTGGAATGGAAATGACAGAATGGTTGTACTCAAAAGGATGTAGAAAAATGATACTGAGTTCAAGTAAAGGATATAAGAATGCTTATCAAAAGCAGAAAGTCGAGTGAGTAATCTTATAGCTATTTTGAAGATCATTTTAACTACTTTATACATCCTATAAGGTCACTCAAATCTCGAGGTGTCTCAGTAACAATCAGCATATCAAATATTTTCTCAGAATCAGGATGTAAGGAACTGATCAATCAAGCAGTAGAACTTGGACCAGTGGCAGGAATTTTTAATCTTGCTGGAGTCCTAAGAGATGGCATTTTTGATAATCTTGATACTAAAATGTTTGAAGATGTTCTGGCTCCGAAAGGAACTTCAACTATTATCCTTGATAAACTGTCACGAATACTTTGCCCAAATTTGAAACATTTTGTCTTATTTTCAAGCGTATCAAGTGGTCGAGGTTATGCTGGTAAAGGTAATTATGGACTAGCAAATTCAATAATGGAACGAGTTGCTGAGAAGAGGTGTGCAGAAGGACTGCCAGGAAAAGCTATACAATGGGGTGCAGTAGGTGTTGGTATGCTGGAAGATTTTCAACTTAAATATGTGGATGATTTATATATAGGTGGCATGTATCCACAAACTTTGCAGTCCTGTTTTGAGGTGTTTGATACCTTATTGACATCTGACGCTCCTGTTGTATCCAGTATAGTCAAAGCAGACCAACATATGGATGAAGTAAAGAGACGCAACATTGTTGATATTATTTTTAATATCATGGGAATTCGTGATAAAAAGTCAGTTTCAATAGATTCAACATTCACTCATCTTGGCATTGATTCCTTAATGGGCGTCGAGATTCAACAAGTTTGTGAACGAGAATACAATGTTTTCTTAAAATCCCAGGAAATACGTTCAATGACAATCAATCAGCTTGAAAAATGTATAGCAACTAGAAGGAACAGCAACGATGACATGAAAGTTTCAACTGTCGAACATGAAGGTGAACTTATTAAAAGATTTAAGTTATCAATTGACGATATAGCTGACTTGGATTCTTTTGATCCATCAAAAACCATCATAAAGGCAAATGATATTGCAGACTCCAAAAATACAAAACTTTTGATCCTACCTTGGATTTTTGGATTTGCTACAAAAAACTACCAAAATCTTGCGCAACAAATGGAATATCCAGCATATATTTTACAGCTTTCTAAAATCTCTGACTGCACGAGTCTTGATGAAATCATTAAAAAATTGACTCCAAGCATTTTGGAGCTATTTAGTGATGCCAATAATTTCATTTTGATTGGACATTCTTTTGGTGCACTTCTGGGATTAAAAATTTCAAAAATATTAGAAGACAACGGAAAATCGGGACAAATTATTCAGCTTGATGGATCACCTCAGTTTTGCTTTAGACATGCTCGAAAAATGTTAAATGAAGGTAAATTTGGGGATATGAAGGATATTATATCAATGCTTTTGTTTGAACACTATCAAGTCGACATCAACTTAGCTAAGATATTGCTTGAAAAATCTCATGACTGGGAAACGAGGACTAAGGAGTTGATGTCAACGTATAGTTCCAAGATCCCTTCAACATTGGAATACCTCTTGAAGGACCTTCCTTCAGAATTTAACAACCGATTGAATATTTCACTCAGTATAAAAGAATGTGACTTTAGTCCTTTAAAGAGTACAAAAATATCATTGATTAAGTCAAGAAATTCCTCGATCAGTGGTTTGCATCGAGATTATGGATTGACACAATTTTCAGGCAGTAGCGTTAGGATAAAGCTTGTTGATGGAGAACATGAGACAATGATGAAAAATCCAGAACTTGCAGTTATCGTTAGAGATTTAATTGATGAGTAGATTAGGGATTTTAAAGTAATATAATTATTGTTAATTTTTGATACTTTTTATAATTGATAAAAAATAAAGTGAGATGATTGCTTGAAGATGATTGTTAAAGATTTTAAAATGAGCTCGATCAAAATCCGAGTAATTTGCTGTCTTAAATTGATCAGACATTTTTATCGAGGATGATTAACTTTCTTAGCTTCAACCCTGTTTCTGTTGCCATCTGTTACAGCAACCTAATATCTTTTTTGATTTAGATATCAGACTGCCTTTTAAGGCAAAACACAAAAGTCAGTTTTGTCAAGAAGAATCAAAAAACCACAAAACATAAAGAAGACGAAAAACATTGTAGGCACGTCACATGACTAATCTAAACAGCTCAAAACCTTTTCATGCTAAATACTTCTAGGCAAAATATTTGTTGTAAAAAATAAGAAAATTGACCAAAGGTTAAGAAAACAATAAATACCTTCAAACTTTTAATACCTCAAGATATTTGTATTTACTTGAGTTAATGAAGTAAAATCTCATGTTGTTGAGTGTTTTTACCCCTCGCTTAGCATCTCACGGTGGATGAAAATAAAATTAGATTAAAACGAAAAAGTTTTCTTACTTCCAAAAAATTCTGTTTTATGTCTCGTCTCACTTAACATTAAAATATAAACTAAATGATTAAATTATGTTCCTTCATCTAATAGAAGGAAGCATAACTAAATGAGAAATTTTCATAAATTAAAAATAAATATTTACAGAAGAGAAAAAAAAGGAGAAAAAAATGCACAATTTCCGGCACAATCCAATGCAATCTGTACAGCTCTTATTGATTAATGACTATTTTGTCACAGATTATTTTTTGTTCCATATTTTTGGTGCTTTTTTTTATTTAAACGAAATAACATTTTCCATTTCCTCTAGTCTCTCGTATTCTCTCGAATCCACTCCATATATTCTGATATTCTTGTATAAACCTAGTCACATAAAATGATATGATAAAATTTCAATTAAAATTCTATGAATTTCTGATAAGTGTTGTCAAATGAGAATTTATGGGATGGGGAGTAGAAGCTACATATTTTTAAATTGCTAGGTGAAAGTTCTGCTTTCATTTTGTGGGGATTTTAAATTGCTTCATAAAATAATTGGAAATAAATAAGTTTAATGAATTTTTTTCAAAGGAAAATAATGGATGTAGCTGAATTAAAATATTGTAAATTAATTTAAAGTAGCTTGTTAAAGGCAGCAATGAAATATGAATCCCAATTCTCATTTGAATTTATAAATTGCTGCAAAAAAATTCCATAAAATTGAATTCAGGAGAAAAGGTAATTTATACAATAATATAAAGTCATTACTCCAGGATAGCTTGGCTCTCCGCATTTATTTCCAAATGATACGATTCCCAGCTGCACCCAATGCTGATCTACCTCCATCATCAATGGACCACCCTGTGAATTATTTTATTAAAAATTTATTTTAATAAGTTATGGAATTGTTTTGATATTAATGCATGCTTTAATTGGAGTCAGTGTTGAATCCTGTTACCTGCTCTCCGTAATATACAAAAGACCATTTGTAAACATAAGTTGCACTTTATATGGACGCAAAAAAGCTATAGAAGCCAATATTACTAGTTTATAAGTCTTTAAAAATAAAGCAATTTCCATGACTTCTACACTGTACTTAAAAATCAAGAAGAAATCTCAAAATCGACCCACAATAAATTTTAAAAATACACAAAAATTTCCATAGCAGTAACAGCTCATAAATGCTTCCAATTTTAGAAACTAATTAAATTTTATAGACTTACAGAATCGCCTGTTGGTTTGAAGAGAGACCCACGTCATTTACAAAAGTTTTAAAATAAAAGAAAATTAATTCAAAAAATTGTCACAGAGAAACCGAAGTCAATTGTGGCAACAGTGCCACAAAAAAATTCTTCTTGTGTCTGTCACATGATAAAAATTTAAATCCTTTGATGGAATTTTAATTAGCACCCAAGTCAAGTAAAAGCTTTCGACTAGAGTTAAGTGAAAAATGAAAGAAAAAGTAAGTAAAAGTAATCTCATGCTTCAAAGGATTTAAATTTTCCATCAGTCAACAGACACATTACATGCCATAATGACATGAATACATAACTTGGCAGGCATCAACTCCCTTAAATAAAAGAAAAGGAAATAAAGTAAGTTAAAACAAGAATTCTTTCTGAATAAATTTTTGCCATTCTTACGCCTTCTGAATATCCAGCACATAAAAAGTTGTCTGTAATTGGTTGGAAGTATGCTCGATTACAATCCTCATTTCTCCAGATCGGAAGACTAGCTTGACGTTGAACATGCGACTCTTTACCACCATAATACGTTGTTCCTTAACATTTTAAAAAGAAATTCGTCATTTTCTTTGTGCAAAGATTCTTGAAAACTTAAGGATACTTTAAAGCTATTCTAGATATTATTTGAAAAAACATCTTTAAGTGCTTAACCCTGAAAAATTACATCTAAAACAATCTCTAAAATTGGTAACTTACCCCAGCCCACAATAGTTCCAAGTCTTCCTATCAGTCTTTCCTTCTGAATGACTGGCTTTGGCAGGCAAATGGGAATAATATACTTGGATTTTCTGACTGGCTGCTCAAGCACCATAACTGTAAAGAAACATCATGAAAATTTTCTGTTTCACATACTCAAGATGTAATCTCAAAGGATGTTTTGAGACGAATTTTAGAAAAGAATTGTGGATGTATTAGGTGAATTTTGTCAGCATTTTGGGGTTGCTTCAAATTATTGTAGCATCAGGTTGATTCATCATTCAAGAATCCTTTCGAAATTCAAACAAAATCACCATAAGATATCAAATAATCTAGTCTGAAGCTTACTGGCAATATCATTATAGAATCCTACACGAGAAAAACGTGGATGTGCTCTAATTTCTTTAACTTTATATGTGACTGGATCTGATGGCTCATGATCAACAGACAAGTCAATGTCTCCCAAACGAACTGTAAACTGTCGTGCTGCAAAAGGTCTTTGTCTCGCATCACGTGTGCAATGCGCTGCTGTAAGAACCTGAAAATGAAGAAAATTCAATTTATCGTAAGTTTTAAAAAGGATTTGACATTCAGAGCTGTCTCATTAAACATGAAGCTTTAGAAATGGATAGACGATTAAATCAACTTACGTATTTTGTTCCAATCAATGATGCACCGCACCAAAATTCTGTAAATGTGAGAAAAGTAAAGAAACAGCATGAAAATCCAGTCACGCATCAGACACATTAACCTTTACCTGTTCTCTTTGGACCATGAAGGAAAATAGCAGCCATCCATGGCCAATCACCACTGCTTGATTCAGTTCCACCAACAATTCTACCTGAACTATACTCTTGCTGTCCACACTCTTCTGGATCAACGAAATTCGATCCGATTGTTTCAAGTTGTTGTGGTGGTCGACCGGATACGCCACTGCTGATAAGAGAAGTTGAAGGCGTTTGCGTAACGGTGCTAGAAATTGTAAAGACAGGAACTAAAGGACGTTGAGATGTTGTCGATGATGTAATAGGATTCAAGAACAAGCTTGGTCGTGTTGTTGTGGGTCGTGTTGTTAATTTTAAGGGGCGTTGCGTAGTCACGGTAGTTGAATGTTCTGATGCTGGACAACAAACGCCGGGAACAAAAAGACTTTTAAAGCAAAGTGATTCACGAAGATGCGTCAAATCGAGTAACAAGCCTGGACAATTGCTGAGATCATCACATTTCCCTGGGCGTCCATCTGGTGTAAAACATCTATTTTCACCCTCTTTGCCTTGATAATCAACAATTTTTGCTACGTTGCAGACAAAAATAGAAGGAATGGATGTGAAAAAAAATGAAAAAATTCTGTTCAAATTTTTCTTTTTCTTCAAATATGGAAATTTATTCATAAAAAATGGGAAAAAATTCTTCATTTCTATTTTTCATATTCCTGAATAAAGAATTATGGGAAGTGAAATGTGTGGAGTGGCTGATGCTTTTGGTATTATCAATAAATCACGTCACATGAACGAATTGCTTTTCCACAAAAAAACAACACATTCATACGAACATTGTCTGATGTTTTCTTCATGCACGCAACGTTGGTACGTTGGTTCTTAAATAATTGTATGTTATGGTTCAAATGTCTGCCGGATGAATTATTTAGTTTATCTCCGTTTATCTAATACGTAACTCATTAAAGAAGGAAAATCTAAAGTCTTTCAGTTGTTTTCCTTACTTTAATGAACAGGAGACATATCATGTGCAAGAAAGTGACAAAATAGCCACATGACAACCAATTAAAGTAAGAGAAAGTCCAAGATTCATTTAATAAATTGTTTCAAAACTACCTTTGAATATCTTTTTTAAGTCTAAAACAAACTTCACTCTTAAATGCGTCAAAATCCATCCAATCTCGTGTAACTTCATCAATTTCCTTTTGCATGCTTATCAAAAAAGTTCAATACATTCACATATATACGTGCATGCATAAATAAATTGATATAACTGATTAAATGAAAATTGAATCTTGATAATCAGTACAAATGTACATAACAGTGTAGCATCGGTAGTCATTTGAGCCATAAAAAGCTTCCGCAATTAATAAATCACCTTATAACCGAACATATACAATAAATGCGTGCATGAATTGTGACATAATTTATTGAATTCACTTAAAATACAACATCTGGCCATTATCAAGTAAAAATAAAATGAAAATCTTACGTTTTTGGGTTGTTGTAATCGATACAACTGGATCCAGCTGTTCAATCACAGGCACTTTTTCAGTAACAGGCTGAATTTGATCCTTTCGCTTTATTTTAGATTTTGTTTTCTTCTTCTTTGGATCGACCGAATGAAAATGTGGCTGCTGTTGGACTTGTCCGACCGCTGTGACAGCAATTGTCGAGAGTTCATTTAAAGGTGACAGTGAAGTCGTTTCAGTAAGCGTCGCATCAAGCAGCGATGGATCGTCTCTTGTTTCAACGACTGAAAATCTTTTAATCATCGGTTCAATTGTCTTTGTCACATTTTGACCCAAGACATTCTTTGTTAACGTAAGAATAGCATTTGGTACATTCTCAGATGGATTATTGTTTGTAATTGACGTATCTTGTCTTCGTGTCATGTTGACAATATACCGTCCGACTGTATTGAGGGCACCTACAATTATATGAAAGTTGAGAATATTACGTATGTTGCCATTTCAAATTACAAAATGACAATAATTGATTTTGTATAAATGGATGTTCTTATTCTTATTTCATGGGAGTTCAGAATATAAAAGGGTGGAAGGAATGGGAATATTAAATTTCTCGTAACGTATCAAATTTATTTCTATTATTGGAAAATAAATATTTTTTCCATCTCTATGCATCTTGTGAGTAAATGGGAATAGGAGGTAGATTAAATTTATGGATATTGAAATAGTGAACAGAGGAACTGTAGGGATGGAAACAAGTTGATATTAGTTCCACTGGATAACAACATTAGAGCTCCTCTATTGACAACCAATTAATTTTTTTAATTAAAATGCTTTGGTCCACAAAAATCTAAAGTTTTGATCCCTAGGATTTTCATATTTTTTTTTTTCATCCAGAGAAAAGCATTCAAAAGAAGCAAACTTTATGTCCTCAATATTTTTCCCATAAGAAAACTTCCACTTTTTAAGTGAAACACAACTTTTTAAAGTCTCAAAGGACATTCATCCTTTCCACCCATTCCACTTCAATTCGATCACTTAACATTCCATCCCGTTCTGAAAATTTATAATGCTACACAAAAATTTAACCTAAAGTTTCAGATATTTTCGAAAATGCTAATGGTGATATAAATCTTCCAAATCTAGCTGTTGTGCTTTCAACACTTTCCGAATTGCTCTCAACCTCCTCATCCTCCTCATCGTCTTCATCGCTCCCATCTTCATCATCTGAAACGCCTGTTATATCCTCGAGCATGTCGTAAAATACATTGCGCCTAATTCGATGATGATTCTCATTTCGTTCCAATGCATGCTCATGCTGAAAATGCAAATCTGTTTAGGAATAATAATTAAAGAAGAAAAAAAGTTCAGTCTTCCTTCTCATCCTCCTTCCGATTTTATCGTTTAATGTGTTTATGGCATAAACATACAATATGTGCGGTTCATATAAAATATTGCCATTAATAAATATTCGTTCATATTGAAATACCTCTTAATGATGACGGCTCGTTACCGGTTCGTGATTGACAGCGTTCTATCGTCGCATTTAATAATATCACTGCAAATAGAATAGAAAAGGGAGAAGGAAAAAATATGAAAAAATGAGGTAAAATGAGAATGCGAAAATAGAAAATTGTATGATAAATTAAAATGTTCAAATCGCATGCGAACTCTGCATGATAATGATATGATTTATAATGGTTTTGAGAATAGCTTAGAGGGATTTAATGGTTTTGAAGGGGGTAAGTCCATTCAGTTAAAATCGTTTTTTTTTATTTGGAATGAATTTTATTTGGTTGGGGAGAAAATATTGATTTTTTGGACTTTTCTGGATGTTGCCTGCCTTTTGTGACAGTAGCATTTAGAAGTGATATGAGAATATTTGAAGTTGTAAGCATAATTCCATCAGAAACCAATTAAACGCTTTAAATTTATTCAAAAAAAAAAATTAATAATCAAATATTAAAAGGACTTAAGAGTTTATCATTTGTAAAATTCCATGTCATCAAAGTTCATGAATCCCTCGAACATTTGCCTGCCATTGATTTTGCATACAGCATTTTAGATTGTAAATGACTTTAATTGCATCAACCGTGATAAAATTGTAATAAATTATGCCATTCGACACACAATTTTCATCAATAAATGGAATGTAATTTTGTTTGGTTTCTAACGCAGCATTAAGCAATGAATATGAAAAAAAATTCTTGAAATCGGCACAATCAAATTGAATATTTTAAAAAGTTTTTATTAAAAATTCCATTTTTAAATCATTCCCGTATCCATAACTACACACATTTATATTGAGATACATTTGCCGTTTATTCAAAAAAACAGATATTTATGTTCTGTTGCACGATTCAGAATTTCTTTTTACAAAAATGATGTGAATACATAAAAAAAAGTTCCAACTTTATGTACGTACACATGTATAACCATATCTAGAAGACATAAAAGAAGAAGGAGATGAGAATAAACTGTTTCTTTGGGTAGCAATTTTTTTTTGTGAAAATAACAAGAAGGCAAAGTGATTTGGATGACTGGCTGGAGAATGTGAAGAAGACTTTTCAATTGAGTAAGTGCAGACATTAAAGACTAATGTTGTAGATGCTATGGCTGGTACAAATATTTGAATTAAAGTTAAAGCAATCAAATAAAATATGGATTATAAGATCTTGGGTTAAGGATCATTTACAACAGATTTCAACATCTGATCGTTAACTTTGGCCAAACTCTCATGTTTATATACATATCTGTAATAAATGCTTGTAACGGTAATAAGATATTTGAATAATATCTAGAGAGCTTTTTTCATATTCATACTAAGAAACATCGTGTTATTTTTAAAATGTGATTTAAAATATAATTAAGGCGATATAAACTGGCGAAACTTACAATTAAACAATTACTAAACATTCAGGCGTGTTATACAATTCAATTTAAGCTAATTTTTCATCTAATTACAGAGATATTGACAAAAATATATATTTAAAGGTTTTATCACCTAAGGTATATATATATATATATATGGCGTTTAATTCACATTTAATGGCGTTTAAATTATATTAAAACCCACTTAAAAAATAAATTAAGTGGATAAAGTATTGTTAAAAAGATCCAGTGGACTTAACCACAACATCCAGGATCTTAAAAAATATTATTTCGGCATTTATTTCATCGCTCAAACTTTTTGTGCTACATGCTTCACAATCACATCATCAGCACCTTTTGACTATTCTTCTTGCTCCAATTTCTAAACCAAAAGTTGTTAGGAACAAGAAATTTCTTCCCTAACATTACATAATGGTTAAATAATAATATTTTTGTTGCCATTTTTTGTGTTAGAGAAGCTTGAAAAACATTTCAAGTTGAGGGAATGTGAATAAGTGAGGAGGAAAAAGATTCTATGGAATGGCAATGAAAAAGAAAATTCGATTTTAATGTAAAATCATAATAATCAAAAATCAATTTATTTTCTTCGTCGTATTCCATCTTCTGGCCTGAAATATTTTTTATTATACATTTTTTTTATTTCTTTTCTTCAATTCCCACTCCGGCGACGATGAAATTTTATTTTATGCGAGAATGCCTTTTTCTCACTTGAAGGAAGTTTCTTTTTTGCTCGACGACCAATTTCGCCTTAGTTCTCCTTCACCCTGCACCACCAAATCATTATTAACGTTGATTTTTCCACTGTCAAAAATTGAATTACTGTTTTTAAGTGCCCATCATAGATTCTTGATGTATAAACATTAAGTTACAATGGAATAAAAATATGTTGTAATAACACAACAGAATGAAGTAATGAAAATAAGTACGAAAGTTATTCGAGGGTCATGAAATGGAGCTTTGGAAATTTTGACTGATACTCAGCTTGGTCAACATTTAGTGAATCTAATGTTCAGCCAGTTTGAAATTAACATTTAAAATTTAATGCCAAAGCGAATAAATCATTGCATCCATCATACAAGCACAAGTGCAAACGCGCTGAAATTGAAATAAGGAAGGAAAAAATGGACGAGAGAGGAAAAAGTTTATTGAGCTCGCCTTGCAATCAACAATACAAATCCCTAACAATAAACATTGTAAATGACAGAAAAATAAGTTTAAATGAAATGGTTAATGACAAAATCAGGAGCATTTCCTTTTTTATTGCTACATGCTGCTCAAAATCAAAATGAAATGAGAGAATTTCTCATAAAAATAAATGAAAGAAGTAAGTAAATTGGAATGGGAATGTGAAGTAATAAATGTTGAAAGGAAGTTTTGAAGTGATTTGATTTCGACAAATTTTCTGTCGTTTGTTATGCAAGATTTGTTGCCTGACTTGGGGGATTTTGAGTTTAACAATTTAAAACTTTTAATGGCCATCTTTGAATCCTTAAGGATTTTGAACTGTTAGTCAATTATAATGAACATTTTGTAATTCTAGTGTTAGTTTAAACAACCAGAAAATTGATCTGGATCTGCTTACTCATTCATAATGGATATAATCCATGGCAACAAAATCTCACATTTATAAAAAAGATTTTCTTGAAATGTTCTCAGCCTTACCAAGTCCACCATAATCAAAATAAATTTCAAACAAATTCCATGTATTTGAATCTTCAACATATTGTAAACTTCAAGAAGCTTTAATAACAAAGCTTTTTTGATATCAATATTAAATGTACCACAGGCCTATAAATTACAAATAAACCTTTCAGAGAAGCTTAAGATACTTGAAAGAAGATTCTGATTTTTTGTGTCTCTATTGTATCTTAAATTCATCGATTTTATCATGGTCTTATTAATTTGAGCATTCTACATTACACCAAATTATAGAATCGAGAAATAGCTATAAAAGAACCAATTTTTAAAATTGCTTTATTTTCTTCTTAATTTTATCATTTTCCGCTCATTTTCGTTCTTTTTCGTCTGTCAATAACCCTTATTACCTTATTTCCAAATAAAAACACAGAATAATTTTCCAATCATACTTTTCAATAGCCAATAATCAACAATTTACCGAAAAATCAATCAAACGAAGAACTGGTAGACACAGTCATTGAAGAAACGTGCTAAGCTATTGAAGGTCAGACAGACAAATTAAAGTTCTTCTTATTTAATACGATCCCCTCATTCCCATCAATGTCGATTTGATGGAACAGGAGAATATTAAACTTTATCATGAACGACATCGAATTTGATGAGTAAATAATATAAGATTTTATCGCATATCGTACATAAGGAAATATCAAGAAGGAGAAGAAGTTCTCAGAGCTCAATTATGATATGCAAAAAGCCTTTGCCTCTAAGAGAAAATGGATAGGAAGGAACACTTCCTCAACAATATGAAATATACACAAAAATGGAAAAAATAAGCGTCTATTTACGCTTATCGAAAATCACGGATTATTTTGCCTCGAAGTGTATTTGTTGTGAGAAAAGAAAGGGAAATTTTTATGCTAAACGATATTGTTCCTTCCTTTATATCTTCTAACGCATCTTTGGCTTGATGGGTTCTGTGTATGAAGTTTGCTTCAAAATTTGAATTTTATGAATTTAAAAATGTCGAATCAAATGATAGAAAAATGCGCTACAATAAATTATTGGCAAAACAATACTACCATGCTTGTCTTACTTGTCTCGATATAAGATCTCGATACAACAAAATAAAAATGCGCAAAAAAATTTTCATCCTCTTGTGCCGCTTGTCGAAGACATTGAAGACGAGACTTGAGAGAAGAAAAAATATTGAAGTGCGAAGAGAACTTTTTTTCCATATCGGAAGGAATTACTATCGCTGTTCGAAAATGAAGCGATATGTATGTACATTAAAATTCCAAATTAAAATTCAGATCATGCTTCCATAATAAATTGAAAAGAATTAATGTAATGTAATTCGGTTATTGTGGAAGCACTCGCGTTTCCTCTTACAACCCCACATCCTCATTCTTAGTGACGCTGTTTCGTTTATTGGGCAATTGACATTTTTCTCTTCTCGATCACGAAATATTGAATTGTTTGTTGAACATTTACAATTTCGAGGCGATGATGTTAAGGGTTTTTTTTAAGTTGGGGATGAAAAGGATTATTAATTCTTCGATGTTGCCATACCGAAATATTTTTCTTACATTTATATACTGTCAATTAAATTTGGAAACATTTAGACTTTAATGAAATTGTTTGGTTTTTTTAATTTTGAACTTTTATTGACACTTTTGAAGTTGTATTCAAATTTTGATCAAAAATCAAAGTCGTGACTTATTAAAATAATTTCGAATTGTTTATAAATTAAAATGATGGAATGAAGAGGAAATAACCAGGTTTGTCTATGAATTTTTCATAAGTACTTTACAACATATATTCATGTTTTTGATTGCTAATCAACCATAGTGTTTTATCAAGGTATGAAAAAACAAGCAATTAACGATGTTGGACATGAAAAATGAGTTATTGTTATTTTGCACTTAACATGAAAAATTATTATGTATAGAATCAATTTTGCATGGCCTGTGGTAAAATCTTGTATCAATCTATAAATAGAAAGACGTGGGCTAAAAAAATTCACAAAATCTTCAGCACGAGTGAAGCCTTAAAAGACATTCAGTGCTCAACAATTATATATGCTCCCTTCAGCAGATATGTTAAAGAGAATAGAAAGTAAATTGTAACTCAAATTAAGTAGGATAGGGACTTGCTAATTTAATTACGTATTCCATCAATGTAGTACGCACCAAATATCTCTCTGTATCCGCACAAATACATGCAAAACACATAAAATAGAACGAACAGAATGAAGTAAAAAAGAAAAAGCTGAAAACCAAAATCAGACAGCGTTAAGGAGCTATTTGTGATGTATGGCATGTAGTTTCCATATAATTTGAATATTAATCAGATTATTGCATAATTTAACAACAGACATAGTAGAATTGAGTTGTTTGTTTATGCTCACAGCGAAACGAAAAGTTTATCTACAGTAAAATGTGGATGGAAGAGAGTAAATGGAAAAGATGTAAACTTCCAGCATCAACTTGAACTTATTTTCTTTTCATTCCATCTTTAGAATTCATTTGTTGACCTTCTTCATCAATTTTTTTTCTATTCTTTAATTAAATATTACATTTTCTCGACCAAGTTTATTCTTCAGCTGCTAAGACACTCTTTTACTGGTCTGTTGCCCGGACACCTATATTGAACTTGATTTTATTACATTCCAACATGATAGATGAAACTGAGCAGGAATCAGAGACATTACGTTATGTCTTAATTTACTGAATACTTTTCAAGGCATTTAATGCGCTGTAATCATTTGCCAATAAATCTCAGAGTACAGATACCTTCGTCTATTTTTGAACCCCTCATCCGATTCCTCCCTTATCTTCTTTTGTTGATTATACAACAAAATCGCGCGCAATCAGAATATTTTAAAAGCTGTTGTCAAAAAAAGAAGAAATATTTTAATTCTATGTGATTCATCATTCTCCACTACACGTCTATCCAAGAATTTCATTTTTAAACGTGAAACAAAAGAAAGTCTTCGCTGTGTTTGAGAATTAAAATATATAATAAGATTCATAAATGCATGCATACACATTTGCACACATGTGTAAAAATGTAAATTTCATGAAGCAATAGAATTATTTAAGAGGAAACAAAAGAAAGCGGCATAAATCTTTGAATCAAAGCGTTATCGCTAAATAAAAAGAAAAGGAAACGAATGGAAAGATAAAATGAAAATTCACTTAAATCAGCTGAATCCCGAGCACGTAAATCTCTGATAGAACATCATTTTATATGAGTGATGAATGTAATGGTTAAAATATGTTCGGGTACAGCCACAAATTTTCTTGCCTTTGAGGCAAAATATCCTCGAATGGAGAGAAGCATAAACATAAGGGATCACTTTATTATACATTCATGTATGTATATGATGAAAAAAATATTTCCGTGCTGAACATTAACTTATTCTTACTTTTATGAACACGGTTTTGTAGATGGATTTGGATGTAAGGATTCTTGTTGTCCATAAAATGGCTGAAGAATTTATCTGTAATCATAAAAGTGTTTCAAGGGCTTTGGCAACAAGCAAGCCTATTAAAAATATTGTAGAATTTTTTTTCTCAAAAAAAGTTTAAGGACATACTCCTGATTATACCAGAAAACCTTTTAAATAAGCTAAAAATGCACTTTATTCATATTATGTTTCGAACAACTTCACAACTTCCTCCTCTTGTTATTTTCAATATACCAAAGTAGATCCATAAAAATATGAAAGCAAAGGTGTATCCATAAGCTGTACAAAATCCTTATACAAAAAGAAATATTATCCAGTGTTTTGGCCATAAACAAAAAAACAATCTATAGAAAAGTGAACAAGAGATTGTAATCATCCCTTGCTTTATAGAGATAAGCTATGAGGATTTTTAATAGCGAGAACCAAAAAAAAAATCTCTCCACAACATTTTTTATTATCCATCCAAAGCACGCGAAAAGAATCTCCTTTCATATCCGAATATAGCCTATAGCTTTATATGTTAAGTCAATGATAATTTGAGTATCTTACGGCAGCCACCATTATTTGTTCATACAACTTAAATTATTTTTCTTCTTAGACTTCCTACACGCGAAACGAGTGTTAAGTAAGAAGTAATTTTTTGAGTACATTCTTTATATTTCATGATCTCTTCGTTTGTTGGATAACTTTAAAGTTTTTTTTTTTCTTTTGTGACTCATCTTGAATGGTGATGACAAAGTTTTGTGACTTTCTACCTTAATCAAAAATTCAAGAAATTTTTCTCGATTATAAAAGGAGAACGGAATACAAATCATAAATTGCGAAATTTATTCAAGGATGCTTTCTTAGGATATAAAATAATTCAGTTTTATTTCATTAATTTATAAGATATACAACAGCTATTATTAATTATTACAAGCTTGAGATAAATTGAATTATGATTCAGTTAGCTTATTGTCATCAAAAATACAGTTACAGATTTTTTGACATAATAATTTTCATGCATGTAGTGTGGCAGTCAAATATAAATTTATGATAAAAAGAAGTATGTTCATAGATACTGCAACGATTATTATGATATTATGGTCGGAGAATAAAATAGTTTTTGTTTTAATTTCTTCTGTAATTGTCTCATCTGTTATTTCTAATCCTGTTACATTAATTCCAAATTTCTTCGAAATATCCCAAAGTTCCTTGTCTTTCAAAAAATTTCCATTTAATATGATTTCTTTTAAGTTTGGCGCAGCTGTTAAAATATTTTTAAAATTTTTTAAAACTTTCAGTTGCGTATTCATGAGGTTTAAGACCTTTATGCTTTTTGGAAGCATATTATTGTCAAAATCAAAAGTCGTCAAATTACTCATCGATAAATCCAGATGCATTAAATTGTTCAATTTTGAAATATTGGCTAGAATGTCTGTGTAATCGAAAAGTTTCAGATTTGATAACTTTAAACATTCTAGAGCTGATTCACTTCCGAAATCAATTTCCAATGAGTTTCCATTATTATATGAAACATCCAAAATGACTAGTTGTTTGTTAATAATAAGTAATTGAAGTGAATTCCCACAAATAAGTAATTCTTTTATATTTGTTCCTTGAAAGTTAATAATCTTTTCCAATTTATTAAAATTAATGTTGAGTCGAAACAAGTTTTTGAACGACATTGGATCAATTGACACTAATAGGTTGTTACTTAGGTTAACTGCATTAGATCTACTATTTTTTGATGAAAAGTCACCAGCCAATGACGATATTTGGTTGTTGCCTAGATCCAAAACATTCACATTATCTGTATAGCTTGTGAAATTAGCTGGAAGCTTCTTTATCTCATTATGTGAAAGATTCAAATATTTTAATTTTGTAAAGTAATAAAACACATTATCTTCCAAAACTTGTATTCGATTTCGTGACAAGTCTAAAACTTCTAAGTTTTGAAGCACATTATTGATATTAGATTCTAAATAGCTAATAACATTGCCCGATGCATTGAGCTTCTGCAGTTTACCCCCTTTAAAATATTGATCACGAAGAACACATACTAAGCTATTGGACACATCCAAGTCTACTAAATTTTTATAAATTTCTGTCAACTTAATTGGAATCCGATTTATGAATGAATTGACAAATTTGATTCTTTTAATCTCATCTGGATTAGAATCTGTTAGCTCGTCCATTTGCATGCTTCTTTGAATTCCACTAAAGGTACACATTGATGCATTGTTAGGATTTCTTTCACAATTTTGGCAAAATGTGCTGCATATCAAAATTAGTGAACCAATAAAAATTTGTAAGCAAAACATTTTTTAACTTTCAATTTTTTAAGTCAGATTTAATAATATTCACTCTTGTTACTACAAAACTTAAACTTAAACTGAATTTAAATAAGCAAAGTTCTCAATTTTTATCTTCAATTTTTGATTGTGTATAATGCATCATCTTATTTTTGATTTGATATAATTTTCATTATAAATCACTAATGTTTGAGCAGAACATATCTTCATTTTAAGTCTATAATGAGTTACTTATTATAATATTTATGTAATTCTTCCCTTTTAAGATAAATTTCAAATAAAAAACAGTACAGCGCATTTGAAGTTAACAACTAGTCAGATTATTGGGAAAGTCCACAATGCTTTGTTGCCACATTTACCGCTAGTCATTTTATGATCAACAATTTTTTTTTAATTAATAAAATTTCATTTGATGCATTTAATGTATTAAATGTGAATGTTTCATAAGCTCATTAAAGTAGCTCGATCAGCCAACATTAAGTCCCTAGAAAACAAAGTTCGTCTCCTAAACGCATTCACAGTTTGACTGGCCTAAACAAATACCACAAAAACATAATAATGCATAGTAATATGCTGACTGTGCTGAAAATTGTGATTCAAATAGCATCATTAGCAAGAAGTAAAGTACGTACAGAGATTTACTATATAATAAGCCTCTAATGCAATGCTTCATGCCTTTGTATCAGACATTGAAAAATAGCGCCACAGCAAAATACGTCCAACAGCGAATTTAATGCCCAATTTGGCCATCAACAGACTCAATTTTAATTCATAATCTCCTGATATTATATTTTAAACATTAGCGTCTAATGTCCATATATCTTTCTTCTAATTTCTCTCAATTTTCTGTTCACATCCATAAATTTTTGGTCCGCTCAGTCGTTTGGGATCCATTGTTCTGTATTAAATTTATTTCTCATTTAATGAAACTTTTTCCTTCCATTCATTCATTTTCCATTCTTTATGTTTCCTTTTGAACGCACATTAGCACATCTTGCTTCAGCATCAGCAGCGTCAGAGTATCAGGAGAAATATTTAAATTTAACAACAAAAGAAGAGGGACTTTTGATAGCAATAACGAATCAACCTCTCATTAGTTTTCACTTTTTTCGGTATATAGGAGCTGATTTTTGTAGGAAGTGATACTATAGTGCATCATTTTGGATAATGGAGCTGATAGTGTTCTAAGTTTTAATAGGCTGGCAATAGAGTTTCTTACTTCTCCACATCACATAGTGAAACTTTAAACCCACTGTGCTATAAAATATACTCTTTAAGGATGCGCTCCAAAAAAGTCAATACTGTACAAACATTTTATCAATTTCAAGGCTTACTTTCAAGAAGCAATAAACAAGGAGAAGACCATAAAGAATAATAGAGTATGGGAAGGTAAATGAACGAAATCATATCTCATGATCCCAGAGGTAATCATAATTTTATTGCTTCTCGACACAGACCCAAACTTTTTGGTGCTACCTGCGGTTCTGCAAGAAGAAAATAGCATAAGCCGGTACACAAATATTACAATCATTGTCGTAAAATTTTTCTTCCTACTCTCCGAGCTTAATTATTCAACACAGAAAATTTCGTTTTTTTTTATGCACAGGATAAAAGTTATTTTCCAAACGGTTGGTATCAGTTTTTGTTGTTGTCAGCTTTCCGTCGACTCCCACTTTCCGTGCACAAACATCTTTCTTTTCTAATGTTTTTTTTACCGCAATATAAATGCAAAAAAATGATGATGAAATGAAGGGAAAAAATGCAAAAATAATAATAATTTTTAATGATTTTAACCTTTTTGCTCAAACTTTATTTTCAAAAGAATGAAGCTTTTAAGGCAATAAATTACAATTGCTTCAGTATATTTTTGTTCGAACACAGGACACTTAAGTTTGTAGTAATGGGTTATTGAGAGTTTTATGAATCTTATTGTTGTTATCTTTTTATGTTCTGCTGCTTTTTGATTTTAAGAAAAAGTTTCTAATCATTATGCAGAATGAATTGAAAAACAGTCAGATTCTACAGCTCCTTCAGTCACCTTACACTTCCTCTTTAAGAATGATAAATTATCTTCTTTTCATCCTGAATATGCACTAAAGTAGCTTAATCCCATTGAAACAAATGACTTCATTTTTTCTCTTTTCTCCATAAACTACTCAAAAGGTAGTAAAAATTAGACATTAAAGCTTTCTTACCTTTTCAACTGAAACTCATCGATCATGTATATGAAGACGAGTACACATTAATGTCAGTTATGCCACATATAACAAAATAAAGTACAAGAAAGAAAGAAATTTGAGTAAAAACAAAAGAGCATTGAGAACAAGAGGAGTAAAGGAGGAGCACGAGAGAAGTAGAGCGAAATGGAACATAAAAAGCATAAAAATGAAATAGGAATGGCATAGAAGAAGAAAAAAAGTGTAATTTTTCATTTTTTGTTGCTGCTCTTGCTGTAGAAAAATAAAGTCTTTGAGATGGTTTTGTCAGGATTTGCTTGATGATGAAACAATCAGCTAGTTGACAGAGTTAAGTCCATTAATATGGTTTGTAAATGACAAGGATCCTTCAACACCTCGATTGTAGATACAGACTTGATTCCTTATCCAATTTAGGGTGGTTTAATAAGAACCACAACAAATAAATGCGTATCAAATATTATTAAATATAGTGCCAGTCATAGTGTCTAATGAAATACACAATCCAACCAACAAAACCACAAGGACAGTCTTAAGCGCGAGTAAGAAGTAGAAAGAGATTTTTTTTTGTAACAATTGTAATAAAAATATCATCATAAAAATGACTCTACATACAACCCGTAGAACTGCTTAGGAGTACAAGTACGAGCAGAAAAGAGGTAGGAGGTTGGAACGAGTCTGTTGGGAATAGTCATAAGTTGGAGCAATTGTTCAACCCCACATTTCCTTTCCCCATATCCACACATTATGTATGACGCTTTGCATGAATCACGTAAACAAAAGAGAGAAACTCTTTTCATGACTTTATCATCTTCAGCATGTCGCAATGTGTTACGAAACAGCTACATGATTCCAATTCTTATGTGTGTACTTCATGTAGACACATAATGAAATGGCAAGAAAGCAAGCAAACGAGATTTTCAATTAACGACTTTCATTTCTCTCAAGTCGCTTTCCTCATTCTTCTTTAGTTCCTTGCCTCGCTATGTTAAGTACATTTCTCATGACAACACAATGAGGACATTCATCGTTGCTTTTGCTCTTGCTTATTCTTTATTTTTTTCGAGAGGAACATGATTCATATGAACATGTTGAAGCAAATTATATTTTTTTTTGGATGTGATAACATAAGAGAAGTAAATTCATATATTTTTATGTTCAGTCTCACTCTACACATTCTCCATTTTTGGAGATGATTTTAACACCAAAATATTTTTTTATCGTGTAAGTGATGAAAAGGATTTCAAGGTGGAGGCACTTTTTGTTATGCTAATGGCTTGAATTTTTTTTAATTAAATTCCTTTGTTATTGTTTAAGACTTTTATGGTGTAATTCTCTTTATGGTTCTGTGATTTGTTATTGCATTTGAATGAATATTATCATGCGTTAAGTATACAGCAATTCAGATTTTTCCTTTGTCTATAAAAAGCAATGAAATTTTTATCAAAACTCATTTTTTTTTACTTTTTTATTTGGGTTTTTGTGCTATCGATAATCAGGTATGAACTTCAAATTCTGTGTGGTGTACAGTCACGTAGATGAATGTTTCGTAATGCCATAAAAGATACAAAAGATTCAATTTAATTGAAAACAATAATTATAATTGACAAGTTTTTGGAAATATCGCTTTATTTTATTATTCCTTGAAGGTTAAATTAAAAATGCAGAATCAAGACTTAAAGTTGAAATTGAACAGATGAATTTAAATTTTCCAACCCCTTTCTAGCAAAAGTCATACATTATAAAATATTAAAATGTTTCTGTGCATTTTATAATTGCTATCATGTTGTATTACATTCTTCTCCCCATTCAAACATTCTCTTACCATTTTATTTTTTTGTATGCTGTTGTTGCCAACAAATTAAAATGTTTAACTGAGTTTAACAAGAATTTTCTTTTTGAAAAATAAATTTTTACTAGTGAGGTTTTCGTTGGATTTTAGCAATCACTTTGAGAGTCTGGATTAGTTTTAACAAAGTCATGTAGCTCCAAATATAATCGAATTTATGATTCATATAGATGTGAACTTCCTTAGCCGACTCAAATTTATATACATTTGTAAAAGGAGACAAACAAGTCACAAAAATTATCATTACAAATTTTTTAAAAGATTATTTCATACAAAAGACATTTAACAGCTGAAATTGCCGAAAATGTTGAATGAGAAAGAAAGTAAGAATGTAATAGCTTTAAAAATCATAATTCATACGTAACACGTTACATTTTTTTTTATCACACAATGGAAAATTTTCCTTTCTATAGAAAAAAAAAATCTTCTTTAATTACTCTCCCTTTCTCTCTCACTCACGGTTCAGCTACTTCTCATTATTTTTTTCTCGTTTTTCAATTAAAAACCTCGTTTTTTGTCTTTTCACGTTCGCATCGCCAAATTCTCTGTGAACCGAGGAAATCATTATAATTTCGGTTCATGAAAAAAGCCAAATGATAATTTTAATGACGATAATGAGGAAGCATGAAAGCCTATTATTGCAATCATAAATAAAAGCATGCACATATGAGAGTTTTTGAAATGTGAAAAATTTGAAAAATTGAAACCTTTTTTCCGTGGATGAACAGAAATAAAGATAATAATTGTTGGATTTAACGACAGGTGCTTTATGGAGTGACATCATGTGTTCATCTATGATTTTCTTTGTTTAATGAATCTTGTCAAAAAAAAATTGGCAGATCCAAAAATACAAGATAGGGACCATTTCAATTTTTCATAAAAAATCTTAAGATTACGTGGACAACCCAAAAGTATAAACACTCATTTCGATATACATTCCCAAAAGGTTTATTGCTCATCTTATC